AACCAAGTCAAAATGGGAAATTCATTTATCTCTTATACATATAACCTGCAGAAATTTTTAAAGATTTATTTTCAACTATGTATATGTGTGCTTGTGTGTGTGTGTGTGTGTGTGTGTGTGTGTGTGTGTGTGTGTGTGTGTGTGCGCGCGGTGTGTGTGTGTATATACATATGCAAATGAGTGCAGTGCCTAAGGATGTCAGAGACATCTGATCCCCTGGAGCTGGAATTAACAGGAAGTTGTTAGCCGACCCACATGGGTGCTGGGAGTAGGCTTTGGGTCCTCTGCAAGTACAGAATGCACTCTTAACCCCTGAGCCATCTCTCCAGACCATGCAGCAATTTTGTATGATATTGTCAGTGTGCCTGCATTTCTGACTGCAACCTGTCACATGAAGTCAGGTGTGGGATTTCTACCTGTGGAGTCTTATTGCCCCTAAATGACCTGTCATGTTGGATTTCAGATTTGGGGGTCAAGGATAATCAACTTATCTTGGCCATGGTGTAAGGTGGGGAAGAGAGGCAACGTGATGATATTTTAAGATTTCAGTGAATTCTACTCCAGAAGAGGTTCTTTTCAATCCAGAATGTCATTATCATTCCAGACCACATCCTGATCCTTGGCTGTTATAAAGAGGCACACCCGTCAGCTGCATTTCTAATCCACATCTGTAAAAGAGTAAATTCCTGGAAGCTATTTTAATTGCAGTCTTTGTACAAGAAACAATAATTTACTAAAATTCACATTGGCTCTAGTTACTTTCAAAATGTGTGTCTGTGTGTGTGTCTGTCTCTGTGTGTGTGTGTGTGTGTTTGTGCATGGGCACAAACACACACACACACACTCATCCATTGGCCATTTAATCTTCATTTACTCTTAGGGGACTGAAGCAATTGTTGCAGTAACTTTAAAAACAAGTCAAACCTTATTTATGTGTCCCCAGTACCTCAGAAAATCTTGATAATTTTTTGAAGCACTGCTATCAGGGAGAAAAGACACAGAAAACCATTTTAATATTTAGTTTATTAAAAAGTCATTTTGCTGGAGCTGGAAAGATGGGTGAGACAGTAGAATGCTTGCTGCCAAAGTATGAGGATCTGATTTTGGATCCTAGCACCCATATAAAAAGCTGGCGGGTCTTCTTAAACATGTATACCCCTGCCAGCTGCATGTCTCACAAGCATCAGTAAAACAGTAAGTGTGTCTGCAGTCCCAGCACTGGGGAAGACAAGAGGACCACTGGGGATTGTAGGCCAGCCTGGCTAGCTGATGGGTGAGCCCCAAGTCAATGAAGACCCTATCTCAAAAAATAAGGTGGAGAGTGATAAAGACACACAACATTGACTGCTAGACCACACACACACACACACACACACACACACACACACACACACACACACAGCTTGACTGTGGGAAAACAATTATCCTGATCTCTGAGCATATTTAAATAAGTTTAGATTCATTTTTTGTTTGATTTTTACTTATCTTAGAGTCTCAGAAAACTCTATTGGTTTGGATCCTTCCCAGAAATAAGAGTACCTGAGGAAAATTCTAGAAGACTTCAGTGCAGCTTGGACAGTTAGTCATGAATATATGATTAGCTACAGTTCAAAGAAGAAACTTTGATCCAGAAACCATGAACCTCAAGGGCAACCTTGATATCAGTCAGTAAGATGTAAGCTGCTCCCAGCTAGCAGAGGACAGTTTACTGTCCCACCATGCATGGACCTGCCTATAGGTAAAAGGCCACACATCTGGTGGTCTAGTCTGAATTTTGGAAGAACCAAGGTGATCTTATGATGGATATTGGATTTTGCATCAAGTTTTGATTGACATTAAAAAATGAATTTCGCTAGTAAAATGAATAAGACACTGAAAGGACAAGAAAGATAAACAAGATCAGTTTCATCGACATACAAAATGAAAGTATCTAAGAAATAAGATAAGGAGGACCAATAAGAGGCAAGAGAGATGCCTCAATGGTTTAGAGCACTTGCTACTCTTGCAGAGGACCTGGTATCTTATTTAGGTTTTCTATTGCTATGAAGAGACACCATGACCATGGCAACTCATATAAAGAAAAACATTTAATTGGGCTGGCTTACAGTTTCAGAGGTTTAGTCCATTATTGTCATGGCAGGAAACATGGCAGTGTGTAGGCAGATATGGTTCAGGAGAAGTAGCTGAGAGTTCTTACATCTATATCTGCAGAAAGCAGGAGTAGACTGTGTGCCAGCCACACTGGGCATAGTTTAAGCATATGAGACCTCAAAGTCCGCTCCCATTTTCATACACTTACTTCAACAAGGCCACACCTCCAAGTAGTGCCACTCCCTATGGGCCAAGCATTCAGACACTTGAGTCAATGGGAGCCATTCCTATTCAAACCACCACAGCTGGAGTCAGTTTTCAGCACCTACATTAGGTGACTCACAACCACCTGTTACTTAAGCTCCAGGTGATCTGATGGATGCCATTTGGCCTCTGCGGGCTTGCATGCATGTGATACACACAAACTCACCACCCCCACACACACACAAATTAAAAAGAAAAAGCAAATCAACCTTTTAAAAACTAAGTATTCAAAAAGCAAGCCCATGTGTGATTAATAGTGGTCTAAAGGAGGTTCTAGAGAAGGAGTAAGAACAAGAGCTTAGGTTAGAGCAGTGGCTCTCAACCCTCCAAATGCTGCGATCCTTTAATACAGTTCCTCATATTGTGGTGACCCCCAACCATAAAAGTATTTTCATTGCTGCTTCATAACTGAAATTTTCTATTGTTAAGAATCATAATGTAAATATTTGTGTTTCCTGATGGTCTTTAGGCAACCTCTGTGAAAGTCACTCAACCCTCCCAAAGGTTGAGAACTGCTGGGCTAGGAAATGGCTCAGTAGGAAAGAACACTGGCTATTCAAAGCCTGAGAATACCTTACTGGCCAACTAGCCCAGTTGAAAAACTGCTATCTCCAGGCTCAGTGAGAGACCCTGCCTCAAGAGGATAAAGCAGAAAGTAAGAGAGGAGGATGTCTCACTCAGGCATCTGCATGCTATATAAACAGGCAAGCG